TGATGATGATGTTGTTGTATCACTACTGCCTGTATGAGTAGTTGTAATACATGTAGTTTTATTACTGTTACGACTTCGACTACTACTACTGCTGCTTCTGCCTGGACTGCTGCTACCACAATTATCATTTTCACCCGTCTTAATACTATGCTTACTGCTGCTATGGTTACGGCTATTATTTTAATTATTATTATTACTATCACTACTACTACTACCACTACTACTACTACTACGACTACTACTACTACTACTACTACTACTGCTGCTGCTGCTGCTGTTACTACTACTACTACTACTACTACTACTACTACTACTACTACTACTACTACTACTGCTGCTGCTGCTGCTGCTGCTGCTACTACTATTACTACTTTCACCACTACTACTGCTACTACTGCTGCTGCTGTTGCTTATGCTACTACTGTTGCTGCTGCTATTGCTATTCTTGCTACCACTACGACGCATAGGCCACTACAGGAGGTGGAAGAGGAAGCGGGAATTCGGGAGGATAATGGGGATGCAGATGAAGATGATGATGAGGAGGAGGAGGACGACGACAGAAAGGTAGATAAAATGAGGTGGAAGAGGATACTTATTTATCAGATCTGAGGAGGAGGACGAGGACCGATCGAGGGGGGGCAGAAAGAAATAATGGAAGCATGTAAGTTGGAGTATTACCAGAAGAGGAAGTGGAGGATGAGGGGAAAGCGAACGAGAAGGCGTCGGGGCAGTTGAGGATCGGTGAGGAGAAGGCGAGCTCCTCGCACACCTGGCAAGAACCCCTCAGAGTGGGCATGGCCTGCCCACAGCCTCGCCAATGGCGGCCCCCTTCGGCATCGAAGCAGCACGTCAGGGGAGAGAGGGAATGAATGGCAGGTTGGGAGCACTGGCATGTGGAGTGGAGGCAATCAATTGTAGCTAACATGAGCTTCGCGGGGCATCACGCCTTCTTCTGGGCGTGCCTCCTCGCACTGGCGGTCGTCACCACTGAGGATGGGGAGGCGGGAAAGCAGATGCTGCTTACATTTTCAGGCAGGAGATACGTGGGGGCAAGCAGTTGTGAAAATATATAGGCTCCAACCCCTTCGCCGAGGCTACATCAAAGGCAGCCTCCAGCATCTTGGCCTCTGACTGTGACTCTTTTACGAGACAGCAAGTACGAGTGTAGGGCCTACGAGTGTAGGGCCCTGGTGTAATTCTGGCATGTCGGATCGAGTCTCACTTATAGTTTCGATTGGCCGTGGCACGTGCCCTCGTGGCCTCTTCTGTGCGGGGTCGGATCCCGACTGTCCGTTGGCACGCCCCTCGTGAGGGATGGGACTTCAAGCGACGATTCGGTCAGCGGTGGCCCCCATGGGGCCTCGGCGCCTCTTCCTTTTGTGGGGTGCGATCTCGATTTCTCCTGCCTGGCCAGCCGCGGCCCTTCACCACCGGCGCGTGGGCCTCTCGTGTCGGGCGGCATTTCGGCTTTCGAATAGGACGGAGTGCGGCGGGATACGGTCGGACCAAGGAGGTACAAGATCGAGGTCACTTCGGGGAGGGTGCCCTGATGTTTTCTTTCCCCTCCTGATGTTCTTGTGCATCCTGAGGCAGGGCACCCTCGAATGTTCTTCGGTTTGGGCCGGCCGAGGGTCCCATGTTCTTGGGGGATGTTCTTCAGTCCTGGGTCCGACCGCAGCATTTGTCGATTCGGCTGGCCGCTGAGCCCGTGGTCCTCCGTGGCCCCCTCGTGGCCCCCCTCGAGAGCGGCCTGCGAGGAGAGGTAAGGGGCGAGAGGAACGGCAAGAGGGCGAGGGGAGGAGGAGGAGGAGACGGAGGAGGAGGAGGAGGAGCAGGAGGAGCAGGAGGAGAAGGAGGAGGAGGAGCTCCTCTTCCTCCTCCTCCTCGCCCTCCTCCTCGAAGTCCGACCCCCATCGGACTCCCATCCCCGTCCTCCTCCTCCTCCTCCTCCTCGCCCATCCTCCTCGCAAACTGACCACCCTCGAACTTAGATCCTCCTCCTCTTCCTCCTCCCCCTCCTCCTCCCCTCGCCCCTCCTCAGGAGGGGCGAGTGGAGCTCGGGAATCTGATTTCGACACCTCGTGCTGGGGTCGGATTTCCTTTCTTTCTCGCCTCGGGGCGGGGTGGGGGGGCGGCCCGCGGCCAAGCCCGATGGAGATGGGAGGGGCGCCTCCCGGGCGGGCCCCCCGAGCTCCCGCTCCGCCCCCGTCCACCGGCAACACTGGAGGGCCCGCCCCCGTCCCCCCGAGCGCCCGCCCCCCCGGCTCTGGGCCCGAGGAGGGATGACAGTACAGTCGAGCCGGACGAAAGGGGGGATTGGGAAAGGGGGGGTTACGAGATTTGCTGCATGCAGCTGGTTTCGGCCCCATCGGGCGGCCCATTCCTCGATGCATAGCCGCCTCCGGCGCCGGGAGGCGCCGGGAAAATCAGCTACGTAAGCTGATTCCCAAACCTCCCCTTTGCTGACCCCCCCTTTCGCCCGACCCGATACAGTCGAGGC